ACATTTCAATTTTTTGTTTCGTTTGGAACAAAACAAATCAATTTAAGTTTATCCTAATAAAAGTGAATGTTTGTCCAAATGAAAACATCGATTGAACCACATTTGTAACACTTCTGTCTCTATTATTTGTTATAAATTATACTTCTATATGTTGACATGAAAATAAAATACAGTAAAAGGAGAAAAAGATTCGTCAATACATGCCTTTAGAAAAGAAACATTGTTACGCTTCATATTTTAAGAATATCGTCATCATAAAAGTACATTTAACAAGAAAATAATCATGTATTCTGATTATGTCTGGAAAAAATAAATTACGCGCAACGAAAATTACTTGATCAATAGATTTCCACGAAGATAACTTTGTCATTGTTATTGAAATAAGTTTTCTAAGTTTTCCATTACTGCGGAAATACCTTTTCAAAAAAAAAAGCAAATACATATTGTGATAGCGCTTGAAATTTTCTGTCATCTAACACTTAAAAAATGGATTTTCTACTATCATTTCTATTCTGAGTTAATTATCAGTATAGAAATAAATTTCTGAAACAGTAATTGTATATCATCATACTACTTCATAGTCCCTATTATCTTGATCTTTTGGAATATATAATGAAAAATAGAATAAAAAAGAGTCAATTTTTTAAGGATTCATCCAAATGAAAATGAGAGAGGAATGATGGTCTATTTTATTGTGATCAACAATAATAAACTGGACTAGTAGCATGATCAATATCCTTCGTATGACTGCTCACTACACTATTATATCGTTTCAGTTGTATGTCTACTTGATACAGAATACGGATTTATGTACAGGATAGGAAGTGAAGAAGAAGAGTGAACAAATGATAGAGTCAGCAGGCAGCTATTATTGTTAATGATGTCAGTGCGTCTAGCCGAATGATAATCAAACGTGTTGACATCATTGAATAGATAACAGATACAGAGATGATGTTCTCGAATTATTCGTACATTCATCGAACAGAGGGATCTAAGTGATATTCGCATTGTTTTTTAATAAATCAATTCGAGACAATAGATAGATATATGAGATAAAAGAAAATTTCTAGCATTATCACAATATATGATTGCGTTTTAAAAAAAAAAATTTCCACAATGATGAAAAACTTTAAAAAACTTATTTTCATGGCAACGACACAATCAAATATGTGGAATCTGTTGATGAATATGCATTCAGTGTATTTCACTTACTAAAAACATAATTATCCTCTATCGAGAAATCCGTATAGTAAACTTAAATATATTTTCATCGAATTTTAACTTCAATCGATATACATTGTTTTTTTTCATAAAACTTTGTTCGTTTTCAAACAGAATTTATGAGATGTTCGAGATAGTCGAATTTGATCTCAATTCTCATAACTATTAAGCCATAAACATACCAATTCATTAAAGATTGATGTTATCTTGTTTCTATACTTTTATTTTAGATAAAGATTATTTGAGGTATTCTCATAACAAATTAGATTTATTCTAGTGATTTTATTCTAAGACAAATGGCAACGGAAAACGAATTACAATTATGTTCAACCTGCAATAAACCTTCAGCAACACGCTTGTGCATTGGATGTAAAAAATATTTTTGTTCAAAGGATTTCAAAGAACATGAACGACAACTATCGATAAATTTCGATAATGAAATCGTGAGATCACACGATGAACTTCTTGATCAAATACAAAAATTAGAAAAATCAAATTCTTTCTCATTGGATCTTTTTGATCAAATTGAACAGTGGAAAAAAACAACAATCAATAAAGTAGAAAAAGCGGCAGAAAAAGCTCATCATGAACTTGTCGAATTAATCGGTAAACAAAGAACAATTATAACAAAGCAACTTAAACTGATTACAGAAGAAATTCGCTGTTGTCGAGAAGAAGAAAATTTTGTTGAAAATGACATTGATCGACTTAAAGAAAAAATTAATGAAATTAAACAAAAATTTGAACAATTTAATCAAAAAGATACAACTCAAAGCATCATTGTTAGTAATGATCAAATTGATTGGAATCGACTCATCTACATCCGAGAACCACAACGAAATCGTGAGTACATTGAAATATAGGCGTAAAAAAAAAGAAACTTTCAAATAAACCAATTAAATATTTTTCGTCATTCAATCGCAGCTTTTCTTTAATTAATTAATCTAAATTAATTCATTCATAAGTTAGAGTTACTTCAAGAAATACATGACGTTCAAGAATATTGAATTAAATGTCATTCAAAACTTATCGTTTTGACATAGCTAAGCAGATTTTCATTGACAATATTTCAAATTTCAATAGAAATAATTTCTATAAAATGACATAAAATAATCATTTGGATCCTATTTTAAGAAAAAGTTTCACTATTAAACGTTTGAGATTATGAGACTCTTACTAGTTCATATTTATTCTCTACTAAAGATTGGATTGAAAACTGACCCCATTTGATTTTCATTCGTTCTGAGATTTTGATATTTCAGAAACACGAATCGTTTAACAAAATATCGACGAGAATCGAAATATTTCTAAAGATTTTCTATTTGCTCCTGGATTTTACTTTTTTTAATTGTTTTCAATCATAAAAATTTTCTTTTCGACAATGAAAAGAACATTGACTTTTATTTATTTCAAATCATTAACTACTAAGCGTAAATATTTCAATGAAAACCTGAATAAACAAATTCATCGTTAGAATTTAACAAATAGAAATTGTTTTTGAAAGTCTAATGAATGTTAAAATAAGAATTGTCATCGAAAATTTTCATGAAATTGCATGATTCTCATTTATACAAAAATAATTTCAGAAATAAAAATAGAAAAAAAAATGTATAAGAAGTTCAATATCATAATAAATTATAGAGTGACGAATGAAAAAAAGATGAATTCAACATTTCTTTAAGAATCAAATATTCGAGGTACAACGATTTGTTTTTTAATAGAAAGAATGTTTATACATTGAAAATTCAACAACAGTCTCACTCTTTATTAAATTTAAGTCAGTTTCAATTGAAAAGAAAAGAAAATGTTCGAATAATTTGTGTCGCATTTGAATATTCATAGAACGAATATGAAAAACAAATAAATCTTTTCTTTAAGATGTTGATGGAAGATCGAATGAAATTGAATTTCAATTTAGAATCGATAAAGAAAATAAAATCTTTTCAGATATAAAGGATTGCAGATGATGGTTTCTTTTTCAAATTTTTACAAACGATGTATTTACATATTTCAATTGTATTTCATCGAAAGCAAATATAGAAAAACAAATAGAATAGCTCATATTGAACATTCGAGAATCTTCAAAAAGAAAAAGATCAAGTTTAAACATGTCGATCGAGTATTGTACGGTGTATTTCTAGAGAACCATTAAACAAGAAACACACTGTGAATTTCATTACATCAACATCGGTATATTTCTATGATATTTGACAAAGTTCGTTAGATTATTTACCCGATTTTGTTCATCGAGCGAACTAAGAATCTTATTCTGAATTAGAATTAAATAGAAAAACAAGTTTACTAACATATTGCATTAAGAAAAGTGACTCTTATCGACGACAGCTACAATAGTCTATTCTTTGAACAAATTTAGAGACTGTTGACAATTCATATTGACTATCATTAGGAATCTGAATAAAGCGATCCTATAAAGTCATTGAACACTTGGAAAAAATGGCAATTTTCTAAATAGTTCAATTATTATCTTCACATTCGATGGTAGAATTTCTCACACTAAATAATTTTATTCTGAAAAGTTTTTCTTCTGCAGTGTCCATTGCTAAGTGAGAAGTAATGAAACAACTGCCAATATCTAAAAATTATGATAGATTTTAATTGAATCTTGTTGTTCCTCAAAATAGAAGAATACTCATTTACGACATTGGAATATCCGATGAATATTTCACAACAGAGTTGGTTGTGAAATAGTAAATTGGTCCGGTTCGGCCGGTTGGAATCACATGTTCAATCGGTGAAAACCGGCGAAAAAATGTCGAATTTTTTGAAAACCGATTTTTAGAAAAAATGGCTTCAAATATGAAATAGTTTAGGGTGCCTGTAAAAGACACTCGTCACAATGAATCTTTTTAAAAAGAACCTCAGAAAAAATGATTAATATGACATATGCTTTGAGCACTTTTCTACGCATTCTGACAGGAAAAACATATGACACTTTAGTTTTTATGATCAAAAACAGGGTTAGCAAAGAAGATTTTTGAAAACTTTGAATCGGTGAAATTCCGGTGTCTACCGGTCCGGTTTCAACGCTGCTTCAAACACACTAGTTTTTTAAAAACATCTTTCGACTGAGACAAAATTTCTTCAAACGTGCGTTCCAGTATGCTGGCAGATTCTGTACCCCTGATAGAAAAGTCGACATGTTAAAGTCTCAAATAAAAGAAATATCGAAAGTTAAATTGTCAAAATATCGGGTGCAGGTATTGGTGTGGATGGATGTCGATTTGAATATTAGACTCTTCTCTTCGTCGACACTCACATTGACACTCGGCGTTTTAATGAGTTGGTATATTTATCTTTCGACACTTTTATCTATTGACATCTTGTTTTTCCACATTTTTACTTTCAATGTTTTTATCGATCAAGATTTTAATCGTTTGATATTTTAAACTTTTTTTTCGACATTTTTCTTTTCGACTCAAGTAGGTTTTACAGAAGGGTTGACTTCCTCCAAATGTCGTCAATCCTATCTTATCAGCAGTTGTCCCCTTCCCATAACCTTGAGAGTCTCGGAACACTCCTGCTCTGATGTTAGTTTTTTCCTTGAAACTCATTCATGACGTTAAAAAGTAGTATCTTTTTGTTGACTACTTAACATATGAAGAACCAAAATGTTACGCTGTCGAATTACAAACAAAAAACTCTTTTCAATCACTCCAAGTTCAAGTCCATCAGAGTCGAGTTTCCGGGTTCTATAGAGAGCGCTACTCATATCTCTCAGTGTTTTACCTTAAGAGGGATTAACATTTAACAGGAGATGGAGAATCCAAAACAATGGATTACCACAGCTGCAGAGTATTTTCCTGATAATTTAGAGTTAAGTACTTTTAATTTAACAATCACTAATCAAGATTATATGTTGAGCAAAGAGTTTTCTTTTGAGTATAATTTCCATTGCATCCATGATGTGTTTCATGGAGAGTATTTTCAAAAAAAGCTGTGAAGAATACTTTTAGTTCTCTCTAGATAAACAATAGACATTTCTAACTGTAACTTTATGCGAATAAATGGATTTATAAAATAAGAATAAATTAGAAATGTCTACGATCAAAAACAGAGGCAGATCATATTTTTAATATATTTTATTATTTTTTATGTTAGTTGATTACTCACGACCACTTATTATATTTGGACCATTTAAAGAAACTATTAATGATCAACTGATAAATGATCATCCAGATACATTTGCTAGTTGTATACCTCGTATGCATTTATATATCTATATCTATATATATAGATATATAATTATTTCAAGAATTAATAAACGATTTCTTATAGATACAACACGACCAAAACGTGACAAAGAAGTTGAAGGTCGAGAATATCATTTTGTTGCAAATCGTAAACAAATGGAAGATGATATTCAAAATTATTTATTTATTGAAGCTGGAGAGTATGAAGGAAATTTATATGGTACAAGTATTAATGCTGTTCGTGACGTAGCTTATTCTGTATGTATTTGTTTAAAATAAAACATAATTCATGGACATATTTTATAGTCAAAACATTGTATCTTGGATGTAACTGGTAGTGCTATTAAACGTTTAATTAGAGCTGGTCTTTATCCAATTGTTATATATGTTAAACCACGTGATATTAAATGGATATTGTAAGTAAAAATGTTATGTATGATATTAGTTTTATTGATTTGTTTAAGGAATAACATGGGAGAAGAAGCAAACGAAGACCGAGCTAAGCAAATCTATGAGAAATGTAATGATATTGAAGAAAACTTTGGTGATCTTTTTACAGGTAAAGAATTTATACTTAATATTAAATCTTATTTAATAAGAAATATAAAAATTTGTTATTTTTATTTTTGTTTATTATAGTTACTATTGAAGAAGAAAATTTAAGTGATGTTTATGATCGTATATGGGAGTTTATTGATCATGAAAATACAGTTAAGTCTGTTTGGATACCATCAGAAGAAAAAACTTAAAAAAAGAAAAGTATTTGTATTTTTTTTATATGAATTTCTATTCTTAATTTTAAAATGTGTTATTAAGAAATATTCTTTTCTTTTGGTCACTAATCAAATTTATTATTTTTTTGTTTTGCGGAGACGTTGATAATATTCTCACTTTTTTTTGCTTTTTTTTCTTATCTTGATTTATTTGTCTGCACTGTGTATATTTACTCTTATAGGGTGTGGGTGAGTGTGAGTGTTTATGTACTCGTCATAACCACACTCACATCCTTCGGAAGCACGAAAAAATAGAATCACACAATATTTGATCCTTATGAGTTTCATGCGATAAACAATACATTTTCAAAAACTGGTTGAACTTTGAGATACTATCCTTGGAACTATTGGAAAATCGTGACTGCCTATAAGATAAATCTTTGATATCATTCGTTTATCTACTTGAATCCGATCTAGCCGTAATGAAATTATCTTCGCTCAGAATATTCACATTATGAACATTTCGAGATGATACTAGAAAATACTATTGAATGGAAATTAAGAAGACTACGATGAATTTGTTTTTCAAATGTGAATGAGAAGAAAAGAAATACGAATGTTCAAATATCAAAATAACTCGTTCATTGGTATTTCTCTAATATGAAATCAAACAAAATGAAAACAAAGATCGATGAATCTATCATTGATGTTTGAAACTGCATTTTCCATTATGTTTCTGCCAGAGATAAGTTCAATTACCTATTTAAAATACTTTACATAAGTGATATCTTTTCTAAACGATTGTATTTCCATCTCACCTACATTTTACTTCAATACACATCAAACATTATTCTCATAAGAAGACCAGCGTTTTATATTCAAGTGTGACAATAGATTGTAATATCTTATTATTATAAAAGAAAAACGTATTTTTAACCTTGTATATAGTATTAACGTTTTTTTTTGGTGTAGCAATTTCCCCCCAATTGCCCTCTGGTGACCCGCCCATGATTGTTGTTAGGTCATTTGATTTTTCTTCATCTGATTATTTGTTGAATCTATTGATAAATTTTCAGAGTAGTGAATCATTAAAACGTTCTTCGTGTCTCGTCTTACTGTCACCGTTTGTTTTTATCCTGAAGTGCAATTATTTGATTAAATGGTTGATGAATTCTTCTGTAGTCAGTGAATATTTTCAAAGTTGATGATAATTTCTCTTCGTTGATCCAAAAGTATCACGTCGGATCTAAACAAAATTTGTTCTTTTGACGATGAATCATCAACATACGCGATTCTGAGAATGAAGTTGTACACAATGCGTTAAGTTTCGAATGAAGTGCAAGTGACACGAAGCTGCATTTCGAAAGTCTTTTCGGCTTGTCGAGTATTCCGATGTCTCTTTGAATTTCTAATTAGAACATCGTTTACAAATACAGATGATTGTTCCGCCATATATTTAGAATAGGTAGAAAGATGATTATTGTCAGCTAGTGTGACTTGAATTTCATTCGTGTCCTGCATAGTAATATCGTGTAAAGAGAGGATCCAAGGAAAACAAGAAGATGATCTTCGATTTCTTTTAGCTTAATCTTAACAATGACATAGATCGAGAGTCAATACTCATCGAAATACAACGATGTTTCCATTGTGAACAATGAAATAATCGAAATTTGTTAAATCTTGTTAGGTCAACACTTTCGACGGTCGAATAAAAAACGGTCATACTTTTTTTCTTTCAAAGTCGCACTAAGCTGAACTAAAACAACGTGGAAAATAATGGAGAAACTTTCCTTAAATGACAACAGTGAAAAACTCGAGGCTCATTTCTTTTTCCCATTAATTGATATTTGATGAAAACCAAAAAGATCAATTATGTTAAGACTGTCTCGTAAACTTTTCTCTGCTTGAATGAGCCATTGATAGTGACTATTTTGAAAATAAATATGCGTGTCAATTATTTCAAAAATATTGTCGTATTTGTGAGATGCGCAGTTATTAGTAACACTTGCCATAGTTCTTCACAGCTATTTTCTCACATTCCGCATGTAGATCTGATTGATTTTACAAAAAAATAGACTGCATGAAAATTTACGAAGCGCTTCTTACAATGTCGATCGTTGGCTCTTCCAAAAAATTTTCTTATTTCATCAATGAAATGATTCCAGTATTTCTCGACTAGAATTTGGTTTTCAAGAGACTGTTGACGATATTCTGTTGGTTTCCTTTCTCTGAAAAATGAATGAAGCGTAATGTTTGATTTAATCAATTTCTATCGTTTACAACTATCTTTAACAGCCGTATATTCGAAACAATTGGTACTGTCAAATTTTCTTCCTTGATACTCATGATCAATCATTACATTTTGTTATTAAGACATTTTTATAAGATGACAAGTCTTTCGATGATGATGAGATAGAAAGAAAAGTTGAGTTCAAATTCGAAGATTCGAATGTTAATCATCATCCAATAGAACTTCTCAGATTTTTCTTCATTCAAAGGGTGTGGGTGTGGGAGTGGGTACCAGTATGGGTGTGGGTTTGCGTATTGCTACTGGATGTGAGTGTGGTTGGAGAGAAAACGGAGAGCCACACCTACCCACACCTGAACCCACCACTCACCCACACCCACACCTTCACATTAAGCTAAATATTCACGGATAGAAGATGAACACTTCCTTGTAGATTGGATCCAATAACCCCTATTACTAAATATTGGATATATACAGCTAATGGATATTTGGTTTTGGGAAGATTCGGGAGAAAAGCTAAAACAAGCGAAAAGAATTGCTAGTGAACATCATATAGATAGTCTTGGTGAATGATACTATGATAGTATTATAAATGTTATAGAACGGTTAGATGGTTTGGCATTTGCAGTTGTCAAACGGAAAAATGAGATATTATCGATCTTGATGATCATTTATATTTGATTTCTGTCATAATGTTAACACTGATTCATGTCATAAAATATGCTTTTTGCTATTCAGATTCAGAATTCTCTCAAACATTTGGCAATCGTTTTCATATGCATATAATTTTTTCAAATTCTTTCCGAAAGACATTTTTCTCTTTCGACGCTTCGTTCTTTCGATATTTTTCGTCTAAATCAAAGATTCTTTTCGGGTTCATATATTTTTTCCTGAGAAAGTCAGTTAGTCGCGAAAAAAGGTTGCAGCTACGAGATCTGATAATTCTGACATGATTCGATCTAAGATACTTTAAGATTCTGACAAGATTACCATTAAATTTCAACTAGGATTTTGCCAAGAACCCATTGGTATCGGGGAAAAAGTGTATAATCACTGAATTTCAGGATTCGCACAGGACTGGAAGCATGATTCTGATAGAATCCTAAACAGTTTGTGACTATTCGAGAGCCAAGAAGCTTTGAGCACACCTAGAGTGGATATGAACAAAACATAATCTTATATCAGCCAAAAGGCTTCGCTGCAACAAAAACTCTTATGTGAACCCTTAAAAGCCGAATCTTCCTTCCAAGGGACATTATATATCTCCATAAGAAAAAACAAATTATTTTTTTATTATCAATTATTTTTATTCAGGTTTCGAAACTTCTATTTTAGTGATAAATTTTTAAATTTGTGACAATAAGGTCTTTCGGGTTTTAAGAGTTAATAGTCCTTTTTGACTTATGAAAGAAGGAGAGTGGATCTTTTTATGAAGATCCTAGCCTGTATCTCACAAAAACTCAGCAAAATCTTGAGAAAATTGTCGTTCTTCTTGTTCTAATAGTCCTCAAAAGAATCAGTACTGAATCCTGAAAGCATCATGTTCGAAAACTATAAAAACAGTCCGGGCAGAAACCTCACAAAATTCTATTAAGCACCTGCCTAACTAAAATATTACTAAGCAGCAACACGAGTTATAAGGAGTTGAAGCAGAATCCAATGGACAACTTAAGAAGATCCTGCGGGTTCTGAGTCGTACAAGGACCTGCGAGGGTTTCTCAACAAATGGAAAAGATTAAGAATAGAATCACTGTCACTAGACCAGACTACTTTGATACTCAATCACATAATAATAATAGATGACTCCTAACAATTACAAACACTAAATGCCGTGGCATAATTGAGGGATTTGAAACCACAAAGCTACAGAGCAGCTGCGGCTAGTCAGAAAGGTAAGATATAAAACTACAATGAAAGCAACGATTTTGTATACTAGTGAAGAATGTTAGCTTTTAAATTCATTAAAGGCACATTCAAGCTACGAAAAACCAAAGAATGGGTCTTCAAGAGCCATGTAATGTATCTGATTAAAGCAGTTACCGGCATAAAGTCAATCCTCGGAGATATCAAACGAAGCCTATAAAAAAATATTACACTTGTCCCGAGCACAGAAAGACTACTACCAGATGACACTGCGAGATCGATTGTTCTAGCCGTTCCATAGATGCTGACTAGCCCTCCACACTTCTTTATGTTGTCCACGCATCGTTGTTGATACTTCGGTATCAAATTTGTAACGAATTATCGACAACACAGGTTTATACTTAATGAAGGCGAGCGAGTGCTAACGTTATATAGCCTACGTTGACATGCGAACACTGGTGTGGCATAATGCATGAATTATTGTGCCGGCCCTCCGTTATATAGCAGCTGATGGTCAAAGATTGCCACCATTATAGAGTACTTTAGGACCCAAGGGCACCCCCATTATATAGTATATGATGATCCAAGAGTACCCTCAATATACAAGAGTTGATGACCTAAGGACAGTCCCAATATATAGTAATTGATGACCCTAGGATACTCCCAATATCTAGTAGATGATTACCCATGGATAACTCCGTTTCACAGTGCATGAAGAGTTATGGGTACTTCCATAAATGTTTATTCACTTTGATGAATTTTTAAGAAAAAATCTTTTTATAGTGAAACATTTACTTTAACTCTAAATTTTTTAAAGTTAAAGTTTAAAGTATAGTCACTTTAACTTTAACTTTAACTTTTAAAGTGGGACTTTAAACTTTAACCACATTAACCTGTAAAGTTTAAAGTTAAAGTGCCACCCCTAATATAGACGAAATCAAGCTTTTGCTTTATTTAATAATTTTTCAAGTGCAACTATCAGTTTTCTAATTAATCGAACAACAATAAAGATCGATTGCTGAGAAGCAACTGTCGGTACAGTTTAAGGGAAACAAACGAATTAAGGGAGAATATGGATACCATCGTACAGGTAAATGACATCGTAGAATAAAAAATTGTTATTTACTAATAGCAATCAGAATGCATCTTACTTTATTAAATGTCAAAAATTTATGAAAAAATACTGAATAGGAAGAAAATATTTGAAAAGGTTCATATGTGTAATCTAATTGACATGCATGTTTAGGAGTTTTGATCGGATTCTTTCATTCGATAAGTTGACTTATCCTATAAGAATGGTTGCTTATTTTGATGGAGATACTTGATTAGACAGTTATTCGGATGGTCCTGTGTTGTACTATAATTCAGTTCAAGATGAAACGTCTTAAACGACTCGGACAGAACTGTTTTGTTAATTCGCTTTTAAGATCAGATGGTTCGGTTTGTCGCATATAACTGCTTCGATTGGTTACTAAAAAGCTGTCTTGTAAAATGAAACAAATTAGTCAATGTTATGAATTAAATACTAGAATTCGTTCTTCTGAACTTTAATCGTACTGTGTATATACCTTCATGGATTGATTAGCATAGAAATTATAGCAATTAATGTGCAGATTTGAATAAAACAAAACGAACTAAAACTTTTAAATTTAATATCACAAGTCAAAAAATTGCAATAGAAATACAACTAATAATAAAAATTTGTATTTTAGAAATATTTATTCTCTATTGGCGGCTAGTTTTTTGTGCTAAGTCTCTATACCATCATACAATTTCATGTGTCTCTACAATGGTATCTGTATATTCTCTTAATTCATTTCTTTATCTTAAACGGTGATCACAAGCAACACTAGAAAAAAACAGCTTTATTTGTATCCAAGAAATATAGGTAAATCTTTTTCTCGTTAGATTTATCATCTGAATTTTAGGTTCGCATATGTACCGCATGTCGTTTGTTTTCTTTTCTCAGATGGAGATTGATCAATTTTCTTCTTTTCTTCTCTTTCTCTCGTTCTCCCAGTTACACCAACATGCTTTCATTTTTTTTCTCCTTTTTTTTGCTTATGTCATTGAATATGCATGGACTGACAAGTTTTTAGTTGGTGGGGAGACATGTTGAAGGCCTGTGACTCACATGTCTTCGTATTGCGATGCTTATAAGCATTTGATTTCTCTCTTCTTTTTCTTTTCGCTTTTTCTTCTTTGTCATCGTTGCCTCTTATATTCGGCCAAGGTCATTATATTCAAGTGAGCCTAGAAACTAGTCAAGTAAAAGGACTTTTCATGAGAATCATTATTTATCCTACGTAAAAAAATTGAATACTGCAGGGAAGATACAAAGCTTTTTTTATCATTTGGCCGACAGATGCTTGTAAGTATTTCTATTCTTACTTAGTACATCATATTGTATTTTGTTTTCCTATAATATGGTAATTATCTTCTGTTCTTGTTGTCGTTTCCTTTCATATTCTCTTGTTCTCTTTTATGGACGAGTATCTAAGCGTATGCTTTGTATGTAAACGATGCGATTCTTGATATGAAGAAATACAATAAAGCGTAGTTCCATCAATGCTAACTCTTCTTCTGTCCAAAAATCGTCACAATGTTTTCATGTGAAAAGTGCGAATCTACTCTCATTTTACGAGACCACAAAAGTTTCGTATATTCATCTTGAATAAACTCCTAATATTTAGTAATAAATCTTGTATTTTAGAGTGTACCTATTAGTAGCAAATTAGACAGCAAAACTCAACCAACAAACCAGGCAATTATTATCAAGAACTAATCCAACTAGCAAGCCATCACCTTTCCATAATACAAGAAAGTAAGTCTAAGAAAGAATATCCTTCTTCGAAACTTTCTCTATTTTATTCTCGCAAAAGTCGACATACTCTGGTAGATACGAAGAATAATAAAATAAAAGAAACAAATTGCCTCATATCATCACATTAAAGAAAGAGAAGAGAAAATGATTGCAACCGAAAATAGAGTTGCATTAGCATTTGGTTTGAATATTGCAGCAGGATTATCAACATGTATTGGAGGAATTATCATTTTCAATAAAAAATTAGTATATCTTACTAATCCGTCCAGTTTGGGTATTGCTTTTGGAGTATCTGCTGGAGTAATGATTTTTATTGCATTGGGGAATATCTTTGAAGAAAGTGTCAATGCATTTCAGGAAGGTCTTGGTGGAAAAGACGAACAAACCTGTGATAAAATGTGTAAAGGAAATAGCAAAATGTTTACAACAATTTGTTTCATTAATGGTGCTGCAATCATTTTTTTAATCGATTTTATCATTCATAAAATTTCTCCTGATATTGATCACGAACTGAGTATAGACAAAATAAATACTTTTCGTCAAACATTTTCTCAAATTGATTCAAAATATGAGTCAGATCTCGTAGAAGTACAAACTTCACATGGTAAAAAGAATGGCTTTGGAGATGTGACAACTAAACGAATGTTAAATCGTATGGGTATATTGACTGCATTAGCAATTGCGATTCATAATCTTCCAGAAGGTGTTACAACTTATACTGGAGCCGTGAAGGATACAAAATTAGGTATAGCGTTAGCCATTGCTATCGCATTACATAATATTCCTGAAGGTATTGCAGTTGCGACACCAATATATTTTGCCACCGGATCTAAACTCGAGGCTTTTCGTTGGACATTTATATCTGCTCTTGCCGAACCTTTTGGAGGAATCATTGGCTGGTTGATTGCTGGTGATGGATTAAATGCAAATGTAAACGGAATCATGTTTGGCTTGGTTGTTGGTATGATGGTAACTATTTCTATCAAAGAACTAATTCCTACAGCACATCGTTTTTGTCTATCAAGAGACAAAGTTACTTATTCCATACTATTTGGGATGTGTGTTATAGCATTTAGTTTAATCCTACTTGATTATGCAGGTGTCTAAATATACTTTTGCATACTTCTGTCTAATCGATGAGATACATATTACTTAAATAAAAATTTTTCATCTCATCGTTACACATTAAAAATTACATCTTTGAAAGGAATGTGAGAAATTAAATCAGAGTTACTCATTTTTTCTATCTATCTGTTTCTTAAACAAGATATCGAAGGAGCAAGGACGAAAACATAGAAAGAGATAAATTGTTCAAGAGAAGAGGCAAAACGAAAAAGTTTTAAACTACTTAGATGATATGTATAAATGAATTCTTCTTCTTAGTTTTTCATTTGCTTATTTACTCATCCTTTTCAACATGTTATAGAGTCAAGAATTCTTTAACGATATATTTTTCCTCTGGTATCAAAATGAGAAATAAGAAAATGATTAATTTTTTTAAATAACAATTACACTGTCACATGAAATGATGGACTGATGAAACAATGAGAAACAGATTCTTATAGCGAATTACTTATATTTTTAGTAATGTGTAGGCCAATGAAAACTTCAAGTAATTTTCTCTGTCTTTTTCAGTTATGAATGAAAGTTATAAGAAAATTTAAAAGAAGAAAATATACTGAGAGAATATTTCATTTCTTACTTGGACATCATTTTGCATTCACTTTTGGTCTTCTTCTTTACTGTTCTAGTTTTAATCATAACAAATTGTCTAATGCTCTTCAATAATCTAAAAACGTCCTAAGTTACAAGATGATCTTTCAAAATGGCCTATTGATGAAGTTTTTTTTCCACTTTAATAGAATGGTCTCATCTATTTTAGTGTTATCTTTGTTACGCTATGGTTTCGAATTCTATCGTAGAAAAGATTTTGATGAGAAAAAATGTTGACATAACGCAGAAATAAGTTCAATAGTTTTATTGAAAGAATTTCAAATGTTCAATAGAAATGGCATTAATTATAAAAAACATTTTAAAAGTTGTTTTTTTTTTCAAAAAGATTCCTAAAGACAATCGAATAAACGAAAAAAAGAAGGTTTTTCTCATTGAATCGAAATTCATCCTTTTAAAGATGTCAGTCCATACGAAAATCAAGAGTTATAAGAATATATTGACGACCGTGAAGTTGACGTAGAAACTCGTTTGGGTTCAACGCAATTAGGAGATGAAGACTTGAATATTGTCGTCAAACGAGCTATTAAAATGAAACGTTGCGCAACCCTTTCACTGCAAAACAACGAGAGAATAAGATCTGTCGAAATGAAAATTTTAGCCAAGGCACTCAATGACTACAAATGTAACTATTTTTAGATTTGCAATAACATCAAGGATAAGTGATTGAAGTGTAGAACATTTTAATATATTTTCTATTCAATGAATAAAAGAAATCGATAGTGAATGAGTCTAATAAATCAAGTGATTTTAATTCGATGTTTATTTAGTTTGATAAAGTGTATTTAATAACTTTCAAATTTTGATTTTGCAATAGATAAAAGATTGATCATAATTCGAAGATCTGAATGATTACAAAGATTTCGAAATCGTCTATTGAGATCGAGAAACTGTCATAAAAGATAATAAGTATTAAGAAACTCAAAAATTTCATAAACAATTTCATTTGTAAGATATTCAAATTGAGTTATCGAATTTCTTATATTAAAATCGATGATAATACGAACAATAAATCAATTTATATATTACTAATCCGTTTATAGTATTTGTTGTTGTTAAGTAGGAAGAAGTACGTTGTAACTTTTTATTTCACCATTATCAGAGCCATTCATCGTAGTACTTCAGTGTCGTTTCATTTCGTTTGTTGTAAAAATTAATATAAGAAAAGAGTATATTAGTTGATGAATAACTTTTGCTAGTGAGATTGCTTGTATACTAATAATTAAAAGAATATTGCATTCTACGTGTGCAATTACAAATCATAATTTCTATCACTTAAAACAGAACAGAAAATATGATAAGATAAATAGGGTGTGAGTATGAAAGAATTAAAGATTTTCACCCACACCCATACCCTCATCCACAGCCACAGCCACACCCTGAGTAAGCTATTTCGTTTCTTTTTCGTTCAAAAAGATAATTATCGTTATTAATTTCTTTTTATTCCAAACGAGAACCTTATTAACAGCTGTTCGTAATATGCACGTAGACTCGAATTTTTTAATGTAAATCGAGAGTTCAGACGAAAAAAAAAATGATCGAGTATCGAATTATTCTCGGAGTTCTGAAACCGAAGTTTCAGATCCAAAAGCTTTAGTCTCTAATGGTATGTGTAAAGTTCATTTTCTTCAGGTGTTATGTTGTTTTTAAGTTGACATCGTAATTTTTGTAAAATCCGAGAATATGGCTTGATCGTTTACCCATTTAACTGAATCCTATGTTATTTTGTTCTACATTGAAGTTGTGCAATAAATCTTCTGTATTTTTTTTTGTTTGTTCTCTTAAAAAGATATTTCACAACTAAAAAAAATGGCTCAACAAAAGACATTAAAAATGTGACGTTGCTTTTCATATTCTATTCTCATCTAAGACGGATAGTTTTTATTTAAATCTATTACGAATGCTACTCATAGAAAATCATAAATCAGATATTAATCATGTTTTCTTATAATACATGACTTTTATTTTTATTAAAGTATGAAGAATTAACTAACAGAATCATGAAGAAATATATTTCCCATTGTATACAATAAAAAACTCTTTCTACTGTCATCAACAATTGCTATAATTATGTTTCACAATTTTAAAAACGGAAAAAAGAGCAAATCCTTGAAAGATAAAATTAACCAATGATGAATATTTTCTTCATCAACTTTTACAAACATATGTATAGGCTATGAACAAAGTGATACATTCCTCTTTATCCTCGTTTGTTTTAAATGAATGATATGGTGTGGGTGTGGATGTGGATTTGATTGAAGATAACACCCACACCCACACACACCCTCACTTTCATGGAAACTGCTGGAGCGAAAGTCAAAGTAGAAAATGAGTCACTGGAGCAGATCACGAGTGATGATTTCGATGTGATCTCAAAGATTTTTCCAAACTCAGAAAAGTTTAGCCTCTCCTGATTGTCAGTGAGCAAAAGTGAGCATTCGATGCTCACTTTCATAAAGGCTGCTGGAGCCAAAGTGAAAGTAAAGAATGAGTCACTGCAAAAGATCTGGGTTGATGATTTCGGTGTGATCTCAAAGATTTTTTCGAAACTCAGGAAACTTTACGTTCTGCCCATTAAAAGTCAGCCAAAGGGAGCTTTCGATGCTCACTTTGATAGAAGGTTCAACAGGCAAACTGGGAGAAAGCAACTAGGCGCTGTAGAAGATGATGGTTTTAGGATTTCGATGTGATCTGAAAGATTTTCGTCAAATCAGGGAAGTTTCTTTTCGGAAGAGGAAAGATTAGCAAAAGTGAGCAGTCTATACTCAATTACATTGGTAATTCTGTAGGTACTTTGGAAGGACAGAAGTAGTTAATTAAAGTGCTCATTTTCTATGATGGCTGTATGGTGTGAAACGCTTGTAGAAGTCGGAAACTGGTGATTTTGGTGGAAACTAACAATTACCACTGCTAAATTTGTTGCGTAGAGGGTTGTTGGGAATATCTTTGTGACGAAAAAGATGGCTGAGGCATGATATATTAAAGAGGGTGATGAGTGGTACACAAGATCTAGGATATGTGTTATTCGGGTCGTTCGGTTGGCTGTGAAACCAATGGCCATGGTTTACATGGTTATCTTTCAGGAAGCTGGTCTATAAGAAGGGAGAGTGCGTGTTGCCTTTGGCGAAGGGGTCAGAAAGACCAGGCTCTGTTCTATCGAAGGCTGAATATTTCGGTAAATGTGTGCGTTGTTTTGGGAAAAACGAAAAATTAGCAGGCAGCAGCTGGAATGCTTAGTGTGGTTGTAGAGTGTTGCATTGATTATTCGATTCTGAGAAAGTTATAGGAAAGTGTGATTCTGTTCGACGTCAGACATGAGTTTAACTATGGGCAATATTTAGATACGAAAAATGCGATTTATATATACGGGTATTTAAGATATTTGATTTAGGAAAAGTTTATATTAATATTGTAGAAAGAATTTGCTTTGGCAACAGTGATTAGCATATGCGGTTTCTGTTGGGTTTTGATCGTGCCCTGAACGTGAGAAATTGAAGTTTTGTGGGAAGTCGAACGTTATTAGCAGATTGATAGTGTGTTGCTCCGATTTGATGGGTTCAGCTGACGTTTCGGGCTTTCAATGGGATTTCGGATTGATTGAAATTGATTGTGTGATGTATTTTTGTGTTTTGAAATGGTTCCATTGTTTGTTGTTGTTTTTGATGAGATTGAAATTGTTTGTTTATGTTTTGGGAATGTTATAGTTTGCTCATGATGCCGGTGGGTCGCGTTTTTTCAATCATGAAGAAGTGAGACATGGTTTTTGGTTTGTTTGTTGTGTCAGATCATTGATATATTTCAGTCTTGATTAAAAAGGGATGGTTTTATGGAGAAAAGCGGCGAATGAAGGTTGCCCTCGACTTGTGTTTCGATTACTGTTTCATGAATGGGGATTGGTTTTTAGTTGTTCGCGATCGAACATTTTTAATTGAAATATGTCTCCGTCTTTTATATGTTCCGTCGAGACTGCTTGCAGGGTGTGGGTGGGTGTGGGTGTGGGTGTTGGTGTGGATCTGGATGTCTATGAATGATGTTAACACTCACCCACACCCATATATTTGAAATGAATAAATAAATAAGAAAAGCAAAGGATTTATGTATTTGCAATCAATGATTTATAATTGTAAAAGTGATACGTTCTGTTATATGAATTATTAAGATAAGATAGAATAGATTTATAAGTTGTTTTAATATATTTAACGATCTTAGCTAATAACTTGAACAAACTCATTTTTTCAAATGTTACGTATAATCAGTAATTTTTCCACAAGATTATCTGTGATAATCATTTCTTTATTTCTTTTTTTCTAGTTCTACGTAATACAGTATTGTCATAGCAGTGTAATTCTAAATAATTTTGAATGTAATTATCTAGCACAATTTTTTCGTGACAGTAAAGGATTTTTAGTTGAAACAGATATTTCAGGTATTAGATACCTTTTCCGTTGTTTTTTCTTTTTCTAAATTATAGCTATTTCTTATTCATAAATTAATATTATATCAAGGAGTATTTAATATTTGAATCCAAAAGATTTGACATAAACTTTCAAACTGAAATAATGCTTGTCGTAATCAACAAGTATAAGCTTATTTCTTTTAGATAGAATTTAAGCAAAACTTAAATGAAAATGACACATGTTTCTGACTTAACTAATAGATTTGAGTTTAAGAAACTTATTTTTATATGAAATAGAAACTAAATTAATATCATTTAATTTTTGATAATTAAATATCGTTTACAGAATGGCTTTTTTTACATTCTATAGATTATTCTTTACTCAAGATATGATTAGAGAATATTCATAATAGACTTTCTTTTGAATGCTATCTTTTTATTCAATTCAAAGCTAATGACATAATACGAAATCTGGTCTTTTTATGAGCTTATATGAAAATAAAATCAATAAAGATTCTATTTCTCAAAGAAAATATATTATAAAAATTAGGGTTTTTGACTTTATAAATCATTTAATGTTAATCATTACCATTAATAAGATGAAATTTGATTAAAAAAGTCACGTTTTTAATTTAGATAATTTTTACTCCGTTTAGCATTCGAAAGGATGTCAAATAATAATTTCTAAGACCAAAATAAGTTCGATAAAATAATAATTCATCCAATACAAAAAAAAAGAGAATGAAAATGAAATATTTGTAAAAAACATTAATATATGTTTTTTCAACATAAAAATTTTCTCACAAAGTTTTGATGTACATTTTGGTCTAAATCAACTTTGAACAATTATTAGTTTTTGCCTTTACTTTGTTAGATGAGTCATACAGTATCAACCATCATCGTGTCTTTCAAATCTGATACTGCTCAGATTAAAATGTACAAATCAAGCATTCTTAATAACATATTTTACTTTGGTATTTTTCTTTTCATGCTTACTAAGAAAGACAACAAAACTCATAAATCGCTTTTAAGTCGGGACTTATGTGCATCATGTAAGTAATAGTAAAGTATGAATATTGAACAGTCATCCTATTCCGCAAAGTTACACATTCCCGCATCCCACAAGGCCATCAAACTCATCATCATTCAATTCCGGAATTCCTGACATCCAATTCCTACCCATGCGATCGAATTTTCCGAAATTCCTGTCAATTCCTGCACCGGCTCATGTATTCATGTTCAACTGAACATTGCTATACAAATCAAGATGCAATTCAGTTTTAGAATTCCGGAATTCCATGGATGTGGAATGACCAGGAATTCCTGCATATTCCTAGTGATTCCGGATGTGCACAAATTCCGGAATTCCGCTTTGCATTTCTTCGAGCCCGAGAAATGATCATTTAGCCATCCGTGACATATTTGTAATTCCGGAATAGGCAGGAATGACCAGGAATTCCTGCATGTTCTAGTGGTTCCGCATATGCAGAAATTCCGGAATTCTGCTTGGATATCGAATAGATCTTTTAAGATGATCATCTCGTTATTCAGTTTATCCTTCGAATTCCGGAATCACCCGGAATGACCAGGAATTGGATGTTTAGAGTGGGATGTGAAATGAACTATGAATCAGGAATTCCTGGTTGGGGCATGTTGTTGAGGGAAAGGGTCGTTTTTGCTTTTCCGGAATTGATGGTAAGGGATTCCGGGTCAGAAGGCGATGCAGGAATGTGTAACTTTTGGGAATAGGAAGTATTCTCTGAATATTATGAAAAGAGTTCGTTTCAACAATTTATTTTTATTGAGATACTCCACTTTTGCGCTAATTTTTTAGCACAAAGTCATGGTTTCCTGAAGAACACGGAAAAATGGAATTTTGAATTTCAACTTGAAACTTTATGTAGAAACCGACCTCAATGAGAATAATTTTTGTGAAAATTTCAGATCTTTTGATTGTTTCTCGACTGAAATAAGAACTCCGGAAACCGCTAGTATATTTGAACCATGTAAAAACATGCTGCATCATAACAATACCTTAGAATAACAAAAAAATATTAAAAAAAAATTATATGCGATGTATGCACGAAATAGTATGTTTGTGTCTTCTCGTCAAGAACACAATGAGTCACGTGGCGTCGTTATCGAAATGTCTCGAAGAGAAAAAGAAAAAAAAACGTGAAAGAAAGTAAATAATGCTATAGAAGGACAAAGTATAAGAAGCGTTATGTACGAAAACTAACTATTTTATAATAGCAAAATCTGTGAAAACTGTAAATAGACAAATTTTCAATTAACACTCAATTTTATCGAGTCGATTTTGCACGAAATATTTTTAATACAAATATTATTTATTTTGTGCTGTTACAAAAAAAAAACAAAGTAATATATTCTTTTTTTTCTATTAACGACACTTCTCCTTTCTTGCAGAATACGAAAGAATATAAGAGAAACCACGTTATTTTCTTCTCATGTATCCATAGCAATCATATGGTACTCTGTTTTAATAGACGACAAGAGACTGTAAAATTATCAATATGTTCTTAATTTTCACATCATATTGACAAGAACAGAGACGAAATCTGATTTGAAATTGCAGATGTCATCTTTCACATTACCTATAAGCAATGTTGAAGAATTACCTGATGAAATACTTTTATTAATTTATCGATATTTATCATCGACTGATATTCTCTTCTCATTCTATGGTCTCAATTCTCGATTCTCTCAAACAATCAGTGGTTTTTATCAACACTTTGTTCTTGGACACGTTTCATTTAAACAATTCAATTATATTTGCAAATCAATTCTACCCGATATTGGTATCAATATTTGCTCATTAGTTGTGAGTAATGACTGGAAAGGCATTCTTTCACAAAAATTTCTTAACTACTTCAGTGACAAAATATCTTTGACATTTCCACGTCTAAGGCGTTTGATCCTCACTACGTTTCGTATTGGTACATTAATGTCGTTTATTGATTGTTTTCAAAATTTGCCTGAATTATTTGAACTCAAACTCATTAGTTTGTATGACGTAGACAAGGAATCAGCTGAATTAGAAATTTTATTGCACCGAATTTTTACTGCAAATAATAATCGGTTAACCTCAATTTTGTTTGATGATGATTCATTATCTTTTCCTTGTGTAAGTAAAGATGATATATGTTATCCACACATTGAAAAATTAACTGTTGAATTAAAAACCACACATGATCTTTATGAACTTCTTACAGTATTGCCTCAACTAAAATTCTTGGATGTAGCTATCAATGATGTATCCTCGAAGTTTCTCAAAGAAATACAACATATTCCAGTTCTTACTTTAAAAAAATTTCGATTGCGTTCATTTGTTCATAATTGGAATCTTAATGAACTTGCATTATTTTTAAAGCGCATTCCTAATGTTCAAGAACTCATTATTCAGATTAAGACTAACTATGATATTCGTTTGATCGATGGTCAACAAATATTTTCTTATATTTCATCCTTATCTCTAACAAAGTTTAGTTATTTTCTTGAATTTGACTATTCACAATCGTTTAATTATACAAGTTTTCTTTCGAATTGGCAACAATTTAATCAAGAATTTATTTGTATCGAAAGTGATGATAATAATACTCTAGTTCTAATTACATTACCTTTTGACTGTCCTTATTTATTTCTTCGATGTTCAGTAGCTAAAAACAAAATCTTTATGAATAATTATGGCTCTCAAGTTAAATGTTTAACCTTACTTGAAGTTTCAACACAATTAGCTGAAATATTCTCCATTATAACCAAATGTCATCGAATACAAACTATTGTTCTACGAACTGATGAAACGATTGTACCAAGTAAGATTTTATGTTTTGTATTAATTAATATAATTTCATATTATATATAGAATCTACTCAACAAATTCAACTTTGTAAATTGCCTTATCTTAAATGTTTTGTGGCATTGGAAAAATCTTCCGTTAATGCAGATGATTTTAGAAAATTATTAGAAATAGCTCCTAATTTATATCATTTAGCAGTTAATTACGAATTTATTGAACCAATGTTTGACAATAAATCTGTGTGCTATTTTCTAGAACATCGTATTACTCACTTATTGATCAATGTAACCTCAATAACGAGTCTTGAATCAGCTGCTGCTTCGATGTCTCAGCTTGCAATTGTATTTCCATCTTTGAAACATTTATATTTTTACATAGAAACACATGATGGATCTGTCGAATCATTAATTTTGTCTGTTCTCAAGCATTTATGTAAATGGAATTATCTCGTATCATTTGGTGTAGCAAATATAACAATAGATTCTAAAATACTAACAAAAGGTATCCGTGAATGGGTACTCGAAAATTCATTTTTGAATGATAACGATACATTTCTTACTGATTACAGTGCAGAAACATTTCGTCTTTGGCTTTAACGTGTAATAATTTTCATTTTTAATGTCAATAAAAATGAAACAGTCGTATAAGTAACATATATGAAACATGTAACGAAAACTTTAAACAAATTTTGTTTAATCTTGAGATTTTTATCAATATCTAATAAATAAATAAATCAATATGTAGTATATAATGTTGAGTAATAGATGTTTTATTTTATTTTAGTTTTAATATGGAAATTTTCGATCATTTTAACGATCATTTTCAACCAGATAACAAGACATAATACATGATGTTACAACAAAAAGAAAAACAAATAGAAAAAGAAAGAATTCAATAGTGTCTTTAAGGAACATCATTAACTTTAACATCATTACCTGTTTTAACTTAATATAATTTTTTTGTATATATTGTAAGTATTTGTATAATTTTGAATCTAAGTATTATACATATACCATATGTTATACTAAAATTTATAATCCATAACCTATTGAAACCCTAATTATAACACACAAGTTTTATATTCTACTTCAATTTTATGTAATGAAAAACTTTAAACGAATTTTGTTTAATCTTGAAAATTGTATCAATATCTAATAAATAAATCAATATGTAGTATATAATGATGTT